AGATATTTGGAACATGTTCGAACAAGACATAGATACTTAAGAAACCAAATCAACCGACTATATTAAGGCTCTGATACACAGTTGGCCACAACTCCATCAAATAATTAACTTTAATATAACATGTTATATATAACTTATTTCTAATAGAAATTAATACGAAAAACTAGTTTCGAATATCATTCAATAATAGCATATAATGATTTATTAATAGCATATAATGATTTATTAATAGCATATAATCATTTATTAATAGCATATAATCATTTATTATTAGCATATAATCATTTATTAATAGCATATAATCATTTATTAATAGCATACAATCATTTATTATTAGCATATAATCATTTATTAATAGCATACAATCATTTATTAATAGCATCGCTAATAGCATCACCATCATTCCTAATCTTAGTTGAGAGAGAGAGAGAGAGAGAGAGAGAGAGAGAGAGGGAGAGGAGGAGAGAGGATCTTAGAGAGAGAGAGAGAGAGAGAGAGAGAGAGACAGAGAGAGAGACAGAGAGAGAGAGAGAGAGAGACAGAGAGAGAGAGAGAGAGAGACAGAGAGAGAGAGAGAGACAGAGAGAGAGAGAGAGAGAGAGAAAAAAAATACTCAACTATTCACCTCTCGACGCAAGCTCGTGGCTACATATTTACTATTCACTACACATAGCACATAGACGTAAATTGAACAAATACACACTTGTCACACACTCTTGAACGAACGCAAACACAGAATCAGAAAAAGTATTTTAGCGAATGATTGCGGGTGACAAACATTGTTTATGTTTCACTCTCAGAGTATGCGTTCGTGAGTCAGTAATCCGGATGCAGTCACAATGAAGTCACAGTAAATAATGAAGAGGGGAATGAAACAGGTGGTGGAGAGGGATTATCAGGGGGAAAAGCGCCAAGCTATTACGACTATATAGCACTTGAAAGGGGTCAGGATAAGGATTTGGGATGGGACGGTGGGAAAGGAATGGTGCCCAAACGCTTATGTACGGGAAGGGATTGAACGCCGACCTGCATGGAGCGAGACACCTCGTCTGACTCTGTGAACTTCTCAAGCTTTACTCAGTTTATTTAATAACTTCCTCTTTGGTGATCACTAATGTAGTGAACATGTCCTCTTTTCTCCCACACACTTGTTCACGTGTAAGTGAACTATTAAGTATCTACTAGTACTACCTGTCTCTGTGCTAGACTAGTTAGGATGTACTTATAAGTTGTTGTTGTTGAAGATTCGCTACCTGGAACAAAAAGTTCCAAGTAGCACGGGCTATGGTGAGCCCGTAGTACTTTGTAAGTGAAGAGACAAAGTACTGTCCGTGTTTATCACACATTTCCTTGTCGTTATCAGTTGCCTGGCCTGTTTCATCTGTCTGTGGCACAGTCTTCTCCCTGACCTGTCTTTGATCTGAGTGGCACAGCGTTCTCCCTCACCTGTGTTTGATCTGAGTGACAAATCTGATCAACTGTGTTTGATTAGGATTGATCATTGCCTGCTCTAAAAACATCCACCATCACATTCTATTTCAACTTATTCCCCCATTTTCGTGTCAATGACACTAGCTAATTAGACCAATTGCTGGTCTAGATAATTTCCTAATTCCTAACTCATTAACACGTAAGTCTTTTACACCAAAAGGAATTTTACACGCTTTGGTTAATCATTTTAGATCACTGCTCTTTGGCCTAGTTCATTGCATTGTTCTGTGTCAATACACATTGAAATATCCCAAAGCAAATGTTTGTTATTGTTGTAAACAGCATTCTGAGGCTTCAGAGCTCACGAAGCCTTTAATAAATGTGAAACAAGACTCCCAAGGCTTGAGAAAGATCTACAGGTTTCGTCAGTAGCTGAGTATAAATGCCTGTTGAATCCCTGAGTATCTATAAACTTGAATGCACATCGTTTGGTGGATAGGAAGAGCGATTAGCGTGAATAAATAAAAAGATAAATAAAGAGATTATCCAATTATGCGCTGTGTAAAATATTTTTTTTGCAATGCAATGATTTGACGCCACGAGAGATTATCGCTTGCAACAGTTCCACAGGAAAGTTATTAAACCCAATCCCAGATATAGATGTAAAAATGTGTTTGGATCTTGTTAAATATAAATATTGGACTAGTTGACGGTAGAACTACCTGATGGGAGGACTACCTGATGACAGAACTACCAGATGGTAGAACTATCTGATGACAGAACTACCTGATGGTAGAACTACCTGATGACAGAACTACCAGATGGTAGAACTACCTGATGACAGAACTACCAGATGGTAGAACTATCTGATGACAGAACTACCAGATGGTAGAACTACCTGATGACAGAACTACCAGATGGTAGAACTACCTGATGACAGAACTACCAGATGGTAGAACTATCTGATGACAGAACTACCAGATGGTAGAACTACCAATTGGAAAGCTAGCAGGTTGAAAAAACTTTCCTAAAATAACCCTATTAGTTAGCAGACCAAACTGCTTGAAAAAGCCAGTCATATGGATTTTTACCAGATTGGAGAGGTTATCTTGAGATGATTTCGGGGCTTTAGTGTCCCCGCGGCCCGGTCCTCGACCAGGCCTCCACCCCCAGGAAGCAGCCCGTGACAGCTGCCTAACACCCAGGTACCTATTTTACTGCTAGGTAACAGGGGGCATAGGGTGAAAGAAACTCTGCCTATTGTTTCTCGCCGGCGCCTGGGATCGAACCCAGGACCACAGGATCACAAGTCCAGTGTGCTGTCCGCTCGGCCGACCGGCTCCCCAGGTAACTTAACTGGACTGCGGACACGATGGTGGACGTACCTGAAGAGAAAGAGGCCAGCGACGAGGAAGATCATGGAGATGACCAGACCCACTGCCACGGAGTGCCAATCATAATGGCACTTTTCCGAGGAGAACCCACAAGGAGGAGCGTCTCTCGGAGGTGATCCTCCAAGCCACTCTATCGTCTCATTCAGCGCCAGTCTCTGTAGGGATGAGTAAATGAATGATGAATCGCTTGGCCTCATCCCTTCACGTTTTCTAATCTGAATTCCCCGTAACGTGTGTTTTTGCTTGGCCGGCTGAGAAAGGAATTTAATAACACATGAGAATTAACAAGTGTTGCAGGAAGAAGGGTGAGTGGGTGCCTCGGGCCGCTGGGTGAATGGAATGGGTGAGTAGATTAATGGGTAATGGGTGAGAGGATGGGTATTGAACGGGAATATTTATGGAACAAATTACCGGATACAACATTTTTTTCAGGGGAAACTGAGGAATTATATCAAGCAAAGGTTAAACATCTGAGGGACTTTGATTTTGTATTAATAGGAGCTGCCTCGTATGGGCCAATAGATGCCTCGTATGGACCAATAGATGCCTCGTATGGACCAATAGATGCCTTGTATCGACCAATAGGAGCTGCCTCGTATGGACCAATAGGAGCTGCCTCGTATGGGCCAATAGGAGCTGCCTCGCATGGACCAATAGCAGCTGCCTCGTATGGACCAATAGGAGCTGCCTCGTATGGGCCAATAGATGCCTCGTATGGACCAATAGATGCCTCGCATGGACCAATAGGAGCTGCCTCGTATGGGCCAATAGATGCCTCGTATGGATCAATAGATGCCTCGTATGGACCAATAGATGCCTCGTATGGATCAATAGATGCCTCGTATGGATCAATAGATGCCTCGTATGGACCAATAGATGCCTCGTATGGACCAATAGATGCCTCGTATGGATCAATAGATGCCTCGTATGGACCAATAGATGCCTCGTATGGACCAATAGATGCCTCGTATGGACCAATAGATGCCTCGTATGGACCAATAGGAGCTGCCTCGTATCGACCAATAGGAGCTGCCTCGTATGGGCCAATAGATGCCTCGTATGGATCAATAGATGCCTCGTATGGACCAATAGATGCCTCGTATCGACCAATAGGAGCTGCCTCGTATGGACCAATAGGAGCTGCCTCGTATGGACCAACAGGAGCTGCCTCGTATGGACCAATAGGAGCTGCCTCGTATCGACCAATAGGAGCTGCCTCGTATGGACCAATAGGAGCTGCCTCGTATGGACCAATAAGAGCTGCCTCGCGTGGACCAATAGGAGGTGCCTATTGATAAGTCAAGGGGTAAGCCATAGGACTAAACTCTGGTGACACAGGACACTGTATCACCAGTGTCCTGTGGTGACACAGGACACTGGTGATACATGGACCCCCCCCCCCCCCCCTGAATGAGTAGTGTCAGCAGCTTGTCCGCATTGAGTATATGTATACTGTATACCTCATTGGTCATCATATCACCACATGAGGTCACTAACTAGTAAGTATACTTTAGTGTATATACTGTATACTGTATGTCGGGGACACCTCTCTGTTTGAAGGCCAAAGTGCATACTATTTTGTCCTATAAATCACATTTATAAGAAAAAATGCAATTAGTTTTGTCGTGATAAATAACAACATATATGTATGTATATAATACATATACATGTATGTTATGTATTCGTCATATGTATATTTCGTATTATAACGCTTGCAAAATACATTACAGTTTATGCAGTAGATCCCAGTGAATGATTGGATTAAGTAATGACATGATTCCTAGAATGAAATACAAAGCGAAGTCCATTGAAGAGAGAGAGAGAGAGAGAGAGAGAGAGAGAGAGAGAGAGAGAGAGAGAGAGAGAGAGAGAGAGAGAGAGAGAGAGAGAGAGAGAGAGAGAGAGAGAGAGAGAGAGAGAGAGAGAGAGAGAGAGAGAGAGAGAGAGAGAGAGACAGAGAGAGAGAGAGAGAGAGAGAGAGAGAGAGAGAGAGAGAGAGAGAGAGAGAGAGAGAGAGAGAGAGAGAGAGAGAGAGAGAGAGAGAGAGAGAGAGAGAGAGAGAGAGAGAGAGAGAGAGAGAGAGAGAGAGAGAGAGAGAGAGAGACAGACAGACAGACAGACAGACAGAGAGAGAGAGAGAGAGAGAGAGAGAGAGAGAGAGAGACAGACAGAGAGAGACATCGTATCATCTTCACTTACGGGCAGGTTATCCATATCATGGGTCCCACTGGTCTTAGCCTCCAGGATAAACTGGCCAACCTTGCGCCATCCCATGGGCGGGTTGTGCTCTGGCCCAAGCTTCCGGATGGCCAGCAACGAGTATGAACCCTCGGCGTCGCCATTTTCATCCATGTGTACCTGGCCAGGGGTTGGGAGACAGGTGTTTGAATGATAGGAAGCCACAGAGGCATGTTGAGACACAGAGGCATTGACAGATTGTAAATTTTGGGTGATTGGGAGGCAAGGAAATGCAGCTTTCAAACTACGAATGTGTGTGTATACACACCAACAGAAGATTAGAGTTTTGGGGGGGTTGCAATCATGGCCAAATAGTGGCAGGTGCAATGTAAGCCTTGGTCACCCAGTACCACACAGCAATAGATGCAACAGCATGCAAGAATTGCTGTACAGAAGGAAGAATCTTTGCTTGCCAGAAAATGTGTTGCGTCAATGAGAAATATAAGAACTTAGATCAAATTAATTTTTCTGTGTAGCAACCGTGGCTGAGAAGAATATATGAGAAAAGGAACGTAATAGCCAATATATTAGGAGAGTTTGAAAATATGATTGAAAGTGGATGAGCGACTTGGCTGACGAATTGAGTGTGTGTATATCTGTGGAAGCAGTGTGTGTGTGTATGTGGGAATGTGTATGTACTCAACTAATTGTGCTTGCGGGAGTTGAGCTCTGTCTCTTTGGTCCCACCTCTCAACCGTCAATCAACTGGTGTACAGATTCCTGAGCCTATTGGGCTCTATCATATCTACACTTGAAACTGTGTATGGAGTCAGCCTCCACCACATCACTGCCTAATGCATTCCATCCGTTAACTACTCTGACACTGAAAAAGTTCCTTCTAACGTCTCTGTGGCTCATGTGGGTACTCAGTTTCCACCTGTGTCCCCTTGTTCGCGTCCCACCAATGTTGAAGAGTTTATCCTTGTTTACCCGGTCGATTCCCCTGAGGATTTTGTAGGTTGTGATCATGTCTCCCCTTACTATGTATATTTGTGTGTGTGAGAGTGTGTGTGTGTGTGTGTGTGTGTGTGTGTGTGTGTGTGTGTGTGTGTGTGTGTGTGTGTGTGTGTGTGTGTGTGTGTGTGTGTGTGTGTGTACTGTCATAAAATACATCCTCACTGTAAACAGATCCACAAGGACCGTGATGAGGGTTCGAACCTACATCCGTTCGGATGCCATTTGCTCATGCTCACTGTACTCAAATGGATAAAAAAAAGGTAGACAGGGATAGAATCCATCAGGATGAAAACCCCATATCAAAACATCACAGTATGCGCAACACTGAAGCATATAGTGACGTCGCAACACAAACCAGGAATTAATACCTTATATCAACAAAACTCACACTACTGAGACAGAATGCCACACCTCATCTCACTCATCACAATACCTGCCTCATCAACACCTCATACACCATTCATACACATGCCCGCCAAACACACACCGAAACTACGACGTTGGTACAACGTTCGAACAAGTTTTAACACTTCCTAACGAGTTATAACAACCAATATAGCAAGTTGTTACAACGTTCTAATACGTCATAAACACGTTAAGCCAAGATGTAACAGCTTTATTACAAGTTGTAACAAGCGGAAAATAGAGACAGTTTCAGTTTGTGTTTCCAGGGCAGTTATTCACACCAGTGTGAACAATGTATTGCTGTTTATCTCTCAGAATGTTCGGTAATGCGTTTATTGCTTGTGATGTGTGTCTATGTAGAGCCGGTCGGCCGAGCGGACAGCACGCTAGACTTGTGATCCTGTGGTCCTGGGTTCGATCCCAGGCGCCGGCGAGAAACAATGGGCAGAGTTTTTTTTCCCCCTATGCCCCTGTTACCTAGCAGTAAAATAGGTACCTGGGTGTTAGTCAGCTGGCACGGGCTGCTTCCTGGGGGTGGAGGCCTGGTCGAGGACCGGGCCGCGGGGACACTAAAAAGCCCCGAAATCATCTCAAGATAACCTCAAGATGGATGTATTAACACGATGTACTGAACGGGGTGAGAATAGCTTGAGCTAACTCATCCCTTTGTGTGTATTTTACCTCAATAAACTTATTTCAATTTCAATTTCAATTTCAATGTATTACTGTAGCAATAAAGTCAAACAAAATTAAATCTTAAAATACCGTCGGGCAATATGCCCTTGAGACATCTTTCTCAGTTAGTGAGAGAAGATGTGTCTCAATTTCTCTCAATTTCTCCATTTTTCACTACATTCTTTTTCTCTTATGGCTCTCTTCTCTCTCTCTTCTTAGTCTTCTCTTCTTACTGCTCTTGGTTGAGGGTTAGATTTCTCTTGTGTATACTTGTGTATACTTGTGTATACTTGTGTATACTTGTGTATACTTGTGTATACTTGTGTATACTTTTGTTTACTTGTGTATACTTGTGTATACTTGTGTATACTTGTGTATACTTGTGTATACTTGTGTATACTTGTGTATACTTTTGTTTACTTCTTTCTCACCTCCTCCTCCCTCTCCTCATTTCTCTAAGGCTGTCTTACCATCTGGTTTACAATCTCTCTCTCTCTCTCTCTCTCTCTCTCTCTCTCTCTCTCTCTCTCTCTCTCTCTCTCTCTCTCTCTCTCTCTCTCTCTCTCTCTCTCTCTCTCTCTCTCTCACCCTAAAACGTGTGTCTCACTCTACGTATTCCCCGGCAACTTGCCATTCGTCCGTAAACCTTATATTATCTTTCTCATTTTCTCCCTTACATGTAAATTCTCCTCCACAGTTCCGTGGAAAATAAACAGTCGATTCACTTGGGTTTTAGGAGACTCGAACTGCGAACCCCTACGTGTGTGTGAGACTCGATCGACTCCCCTGTGTCTACAATCTTCCTCCTTACGCACTCAAAACTCCCACGCAGTTCCACACTCTCTCACGCTAAATTCAACTCACATTGAACCCCTGTATGGACGGGAAGGCCTGGTTCTTGATGAGGGAGATGATGTGAGTGCCGTTGGCCGGGTCCGCGTTCGCATCGGCCAACGTCTGGTTCAAAGCTTTGGCATAAATCATCACAGCATCGTACAGGTGCGCGGCAAAGATTGGCACCTGTTGATTGGGCGTCAAAAGAGATGATTAGCAGTGTGTGTGGGATTGGGGGGTCAGAGGAGATAGTAGGGGTAAAAGAGGACATGTGAGGTATATAGTAAGGGAAATGGAAGCCGAGAGAGTGGAAGCATTTTGGCTTCGTCGATTTTGCTCATCAAATCACCTAATCACAAAATCACACGAATGAACAGCTGGTTTATGGACATAGAACGAGACAATTGAATCAGTCATTGAAGCTATTAAAAACCTTTATCTCGATAAATACATGAATATAAGTGTTACAAGATATAAAATATAATATAAAAATTATAAAACAAAATAATTTTATATATTAATTTTATAATTATATAATTTTATATTATATAATAAAATATATATTAATATATAACATAATATTATATATTATAAAAAATTAGAGACCAAGCTTTAATAACTCTTCAATGAGTTTGTTTCACTCCGTTACGGGAGACATCTCCCGTCACTCAGGGTGCAGTCGCACCTCCACAGATCTCCAGTATCATGTATTGATACTGGTAATGGCTCGAAAGGGCCACCACTTACGGGCTATTCATGCCCGTGCCACCTTTTGGGTGGCTTAATCTTCATCAATCAATCATTCAATCCGTTACATTCACCTGGTGATAAACAGGCTGCTTCACATAATGTAGGAAGCAAGTATGGAACAAATGTTCCGTACGCTGATTTATAATTTATTTCGATAAAGGGTTATATTAATTTTTTTATTTGTTTATTTTTGATAACGATAAATTAGGAAACAATTTTACAGAAGCTCCTATGTTGCCCAAACTGTTTATAAAATTTTGTAAACTGTATATAAAGTTTTGCAAAGTGTATATAATCTTTCAAACTGAATATAAAGTTATTATCTGTATACAAATTTATTAAATAAATGTTATTATCCATTGAAAGTTGTGTATAGTTAAGCCTACATCTGGTTTGGTCAGATGCGAGGACAAAGCGTTTAAAGAGGTGTGCTTCGAACATACACAATGAGCAAAGCACGTTCGTAAAAAAAATATTTGAACGCCATCAGTTGTGAATACATTTTTATATATATAAACACGGAATTTTGGCGGTAGAATTAATGACCATTTGGTGATTGTTTACAAGGGCTGGCTGCATGGCTAACAGCTTATTACATTCGAAACTGTCTCAAACTATGCTTCGTTCATTTACAATGCTCGAAGCACACTCCTAGCACACAAATAATTATTAAATCATAATATATTAAAAAATAATATTATAATATATTAAAAAAAATTAAAAAAACATAATATATTATAAGTTATTTATGAATAAATACCGTTTATATATATATAATACTTTTTTAAAAAAAGATATTTGTGTGGGATGAAATTAGAACGAGAATGGCTTAGTGGGGCCGGCATGTAATGTCTTGAACGATCAGGGTTCGAGCACAGGCGCGGCTACTTGGTAAGTTGTGGGATAACTGAAATATTTTGCTGTAACATTGGAAAGCTGCGTAGTTCACTTTCTATGTATATATACATATATACAAATGTATGTGTGTGTGTGAATGCGTTACCTACGCAAGTACGTGGTAATGTATACCAGCAAGTGACTAAGAAACAATATTGTGTATATAAAATACACTTTTCACAAGAAGGAAAACTAGTGTTCTTGACCCACTAGAAATTTTTGGACTGTTTCCAATAATAGTAAAAAAAAGAAAAAATTCTACCATATCCCCCCCCCCAAGTCCATCAACCGTATCAGGGTCACCATATAACTTTTTCTCCTTCACCAAAATAGAATGAATATTAAAATGTGCATTATTTAGTGCACTCATCAAAGCTGAGTGCAGCACTCATCAAAGCTGAGTGCTGCACTCATCAAAGCTGAGTGCTGCACTCATCAAAGCTGAGTGCTGCACTCATCAATTCTCATGAGCTACACTCATCACTCATCAATTCTCAATCAACTTGAGAATGGTCCAGGACGGACCGAAACGTCGTCGTCCCTTCAACTTCTAGTGTGTGGTCTGGTCAACTCATCAAAGCTATTTTCGTCTGGGAGAAATTACTGAATAACCTTGTGGATGAGGCTCTGTTTATCACCATCAATCTTGTCAACTATCTTGAGGTTATCTTGAGATGATTTCGGGGCTTTAGTGTCCCCGCGGCCCGGTCCTCGACCAGGCCTCCACCCCCAGGAAGCAGCCCGTGACAGCTGACTAACACCCAGGTACCTATTTTACTGCTAGGTAACAGGAGCATAGGGTGAAAGAAACTTTGCCCATTGTTTCTCGCCGGTGCCTGGGATCGAACCCAGGACCACAGGATCACAAGTCCAGCGTGCTGTCCGCTCGGCCGACCGGCTCCCTGTAAGGATGATGTTGTTGTTAAAGATTCGCTACCCAGAACAAAGTTCCATGTAGCACGGGCTATGGTGAGCCCGTAACTTCCCCTGTAAGGAGCATTTCATCTCACCTCGATGTACTTGAAGATGCTGGGGTTGTAGGGCACGCAGAAGGGATGCTGCTTGATACGATTCAACACTCTCTGCTCGAACTCTCTGTAAGGCGATTAGAAAATATGTAAGTTCATTTAAATATACTATTTTCTAACTCATTTAGAGTCTTGTTTACCACGATTCAACACTCCCTGCTCAAACTCTCTGTAAGGGGATTAGAAAATATGTAAGTTCATTTAAATATACTATTTTCTAACTCATTTAGAATCTTGTTTACCACGTATATCAGACCAATCTTTGGAGTGTGCAGCTCCAGCGTGGAGGCCGTATCTAGTCAAGCACAAGACTAAATTGGGAGAAGGTTTAGTGATTAGCCACCAGACTAGTACCCGAACTGAGGGTTATGAGCTACGAGGAGAGACTATGGGAACTAAACCTCACGTCGCTAGAAGATAGAAGAGTTAAGGAAGACATGATCACTACATGTAAGATTCTCAAAGAAATTGATAGGGTAAAGACAGATTATTTAACACGGGGGGTACTCGCAAAATGGGACACAAGTGGAAACTGAGTGCCCAAATGAGCCACAGAGATATTAGAGAGAACTTTCTCAGTGTCAAAGTAGTTAATAAATAGAATGCATTAGGCAGTGATGTGGTGGAGGCTGACTCCATACACAGTTTCAAGTGTAGATATGATAGAGCCCAATAGGCTCAGGAACCTGTACACCTGTTGATTGACGGTTGAGAGGCGGGACCAAAGAGCCAGAGCTCAACCCCCGCAAGCACAACTAGTGAGTAAACACACACACACACATACACACACACACACACACACATACACACACACACACACACACACACACACACACACACACACACACACACACACACACACACACACACACGCACACACACACACACACACACACACACACACACACACACACACACACACACACACACACACACACACACACACACACACACACACACCCAGGGTTCTGTGCCAGACAATTGCGGAAGAAACAGGTCAATGTTATATTATGATTCACGAGCGCAATATATACACTCTCATCAGAAGAGAAAGACCCCGAGAGACAGATTACGAGGAAGACTGGGAAGAAAAAATAATGAAAACCTAATAACATTGTCATCCACACTACCGTGGAAATAAAGTTTCCTTATTAAGACCACTCATAGCCCAGTCGACAGCGTATCGGCCTCACGGGAGGGTCCGTTGTTCGAGTCTCCTACAGCCCAGATGAGTAGAAAAATCTAATAACGAGAAAAATCTAAGAATAAGGTGAAAAAGCAGATCTTGTTCCCTTATTGGCTGCATTGCCGGCCGACCGGCAGGGAGCCGGTCGGCCGAGCGGACAGCACGCGGGACTTGTGATCCTGTGGTCCTGGGTTCGATCCCAGGCGCCGGCGAGAAACAATGGGCAGAGTTTCTTTCACCCTATGCCCCTGTTACCTAGCAGTAAAATAGGTACCTGGGTGTTAGTCAGCTGTCACGGGTTGCTTCCTGGGGGTGGAGGCCTGGTCGAGGACCGGGCCGCGGGGACACTAAAAAAGCCCCGAAATCATCTCAAGATAACCTCAAGATTGTCAAGAAGATAACGAAGCGAGAATTAGGTACTTTTTACGAAAGATTGGCAATGCAGGGTGCATCCTTGGAGGGAGGGGGGGGTAAGTAGTTCGGCCTTGAAGGAACTTTGATACAGGCCTTAAGAATGCATATTTTATGATGCATAATGTATAATTTATGCATTCTTTAAGCTCGTGTTAATGTTATATGGAGACAGCAAAACATCCCAGAGATCTGGGACCAGATTCACGAAAGCACTTACGCAAGCACTTACGAATCTGTCCATCTTTCCTCAATCTTCGGCGGCTTTGTTTACAATTATTAAACAGTTAATGAGCTCCGAAGCACCAGGAGGCTGTTTATAACAATAACAACAGTTGATTGGCAAGTTTTCATGCTTGTAAACTGTTTAATAAATGTAACCAAAGCCGCCAAAGATTGAGGAAAGACGTACACGTTCGTAAGTGCTTTCCTGAATCTCACCCCTGCTTTCCCCAGAGAAAACGGGAAGAAGGACACATGGCAGACTATAGCAGAAGAAACATTACCCGCTTGTCGTACCTGTGGGTCGATACAGGTAAGTGGGACCATTAATTAGCCTGGTCGTAACTATGTCTTGTGATGACACATAATGTAGTCATATATAAATTAGTTACGGAAGAGAAGAATTATTATCATTGCCTAATAATATGTAAACACAAGGAAACGACAGTATGAAGGAGTTTTAAATTTTAAAGTTTTAGGATAGTCTTTATTTTATTTTTTTTTAGAAAAGAATAATTTAGAAATTGATCATCGAGACACTAACAATAGTTGGAAAGTTTAAATTTGTTTTAATAATATACAACACCCCTCCCCCCCCATCCAGGACTCAAAAGTTAGTACTCACAATTTTTAAACTGTGAGTACAGTTTAAAAATGACCAAAGGAAGCCCAAGAGCCAACCTGACAGTCATATCAGGAGAAAAACAACAGTAAAGAAACTGGTGATACCCCCAGAGAACAATAGAGAGATATGTGAGGAGCTCGACAAAATATTCCGGGAGGTCTTAACAATAGAGCACTTCACCTTGCTTCTCCTGACCAGAGGCAGATGACGTTAAACCAAACAGCACTTAAAAGAGTCTGAGAGTACTATATAGATGCCCTAATGAACACCTTCTTAAACTACCAGTTCTGTATGTGGTTTAAGGTCTATCTCCCTTTCAGTTCAGGCACTTCACCTTGCTCTATACCGAAGACTTATTGAACTCTACTGAGGTTATCTTGAGATGATTTCGGGGCTTTTTAGTGTCCCCGCGGCCCGGTCCTCGACCAGGCCTCCACCCCCAGGAAGCAGCCTGTGACAGCTGACTAACTCCCAGGTACCTATTTACTGCTAGGTAACAGGGGCATTCAGGGTGAAAGAAACTTTGCCCATTTGTTTCTGCCTCGTGCGGGAATCGAACCCGCGCCACAGAATTACGAGTCCTCTGCGCGCTATCCACTAGGCTACGAGGCCCCGAAGACTTAATGTTGTTATGCCTCTCGCTCTATATATCCTCGCTTGCACTCATCTGTTTCATCGCCTGTGTCTTCACTCTTTTTCCCCCACTGATATGTAGCTCGGATTGGGTGTTTGCATAGTTAATCATGTCTTTCTGCCTCTCTGCTCATACTACGCTGCTCATTCTTCGCCCTCTGCTCTCCTGTCTTGGTATTCCTGCATATTTTTGTATTGAATTGCATTGTTCTTATGATTATCAAAGTAAGCCATCGGATTTTCCTGAACACTTAATTTTTGCTCATTTTGGAGCCCGGATGGAAAATGTCTACTGTCATGTCTAGTGTCACGTCTAGTGTCATATCTACTGATGTCTACTGTCTCCTGATGCTTCCGGGTGACATCCCATCTTGCCTTCAAGTTCCTCAGATGGTTTAATCCCACTTCCGGATAAACAAATGCCACCATGAAGTGATCACTTAATTCTCATAGCATCTTACAAATGGAATATCAATTCAAGTATTGCTAGTTCTTCCTTATCCGGCGTTCTTGTGGGTCCCCTGACATACAGGCTTTAAAAGGTTGACGGTATAGCAACTTTCAGTAGTTCAGTTCCCCCATGTATCTGGCGGCCCCCAAGTGGTTCGTTGTTCTAATATATATATTCTAATATATTGTTCTAATATATATATTATATTCTAATATACCAGTCCCCGTGGTGTAGTGGTAAGACACTCGCCTGGTGTTCCGCGAGCGCTATGTCATGGGTTCGTATCCTGGCCGGGGAGGATTTACTGGGCGCAATTCCTTAACTGTAGCCTCTGTTTAACGCAACAGTAAAATGTGTACTTGGTTGTAACAACGATTCTTCGCGGCGGGGATCGTATTCCAGGGACCATAGGATTAAGGACTTGCCCGAAACGCTACGCGTACTAGTGGCTCTACAAGAATGTAACAAGAATGTAACAACTCTTGTATATATATATTCATGGCTGAAGTGGACGGAGTCTTTCTTGATTCAAAGTCGACATTTGTTCTTAGAAGAGACAGAATCTGCCCTTACAATTCTAGAAATAATTTGTCATGTTGTTTCTGTCCTATTTATGCCTGAGGGTCTTCATGAAGTCATTTACTGGAGGTCTGAATATCACTCAGGCTGCTAGCTTTGGTTCTCCTAATGTCATGGTCGCCGTTATGCAGTTTCGTAGACCTTCCCCTTTCTTCAGGAGAGCCACTAATCCTCCACCACTTCCTTAATTCCTTCCCTTTCCTAAGTATATATGGAGTCCTAAGGTAACACTGTATTAGTTGTGATGACAATTTTGTTTCTGTGACTGCAATGACATCTGGATTATCTTCGAGTGACCTTCCCCAAGTTCACTTGCTTTATCTGTTACTGCATCTATATTTGTGTACAATACTTTGAAGCTCCCTTTCTTTTGTAAATTCTCATATACTCACACTCTTTATGTACGTTCAACTGGCGTAGGATGCTGCTTTGTGTGTGTGGATATTAGAAAGATGTTACTGTCTTGTGAGATGACTGATGGGAGGGTACGCAAAACGAAAGATATAATTAGTCGTCAAGATCAAATTAAGTTATCTTTGGGATGTGAAAGGAGTATCTTGGTGACTCAGGAGAGGATTGGAGGCTGTTGTGATAAGGGGGGATGAAAGAGGTTTCGTTCTAGTATAGAATTACGTGGGGGTTTAAGGAGCGAATGTGGTGCATAGGAGTGGGTGCTTGCTGGAAGGTGGGTAGTCGAAGCTTCTGTTTCACTTCTCTATAGGAGTGTTGACCTACTGGTGGAGGGTTGCCCACTCTCCTCCATTAAATTGGGGAACTGTGCATATGTATGCATGGACAAAACACATGGGATCAGCTTCTCTTCTATTTAGTCATGTTGTGAAACACAATATTCAGATTTTGCTATTATTTAAATATTGTGTATCTTGCTCAAATTACCTTTTTAACAAGTATAATTGTAATTTAAAACGCCGAACAAAATTACAATACACAAAAAAGCAGAAAAGTTCATATCATTACTTTAATTCTCAGTTTCATTTAGCTATGATTTTATAAAATTATTAATTCAAGTAATTCTTTTTAACAAATCTTAAAAATTAACTAATATACATAAAAATTTTAAAAAAATTATTTAAGAATAATCGTTTTCTTTACAACGTGCAGAACATGATGGGTAACTTACTTATATTTAGTGTTGCTGGGGTAGGCAGGAGTAATCTTGAGAACGGCTCTGAAGCCTTCATACAGGTCTGGCACCTCCTTGTACATGGTCAAGAACTCCTTGCCTGGTACTGTGTATATAGGAATATATTAAGAGCTGCTGCTTTATCCAACCCGTTCTCGCAAATTTAATAAGTCAATATTGACTTATTAAATATGTGCATAGGTGACATACTTAACATAATAGTTTCCCTTGAAAAACTTCATAGAAAACACCGACCTTACCTAACCTACTTAGTATGTTAAGATAAGCATCTTATTGCTTCGTAATTACAATTATTGCCTAACCTATACCTATAATAGGTTAAGTAACAATTGTAATTACGAAGCTATAAGATGCTTATTTTAACATACTAAGTAGGTTAGGTAAGGTCGGTGTTTTCTATTAAGCTTTTCAAGGGAAACTATTATGTTTAGTATGTCACTTATGCACGCAACTAATAAGTCAATATTGACTTATTAAATTTGCGAGAACGGGTTGCTTTATCACAGTAACCATATTATTAATAATTTATACGTAATTATAATAAGGAAACCATGGGACGTAGAGGGGGGGGGTAGAAATAGCCTAAGCTACTCTATCCCTTTGAGATGTATTTATTTATTGTCTCAATAAACATACTTGAACTTGAACTTGAACTTGAGACGTAGAGTTCAGTTCCAAACTTAATTTCAGTGGAACTATTACGTATAATAATTATAATATTATTATGTCTTGGAACTCAATATAGGAATTAAAACTGGTTAAAACAATGAAAAAGTTGTTTAACAAAAATTTACTAATAAAATTACCTTAAACAAATTGTAAAGACAGTAGTCATAGGAATGTTTAGACGATTCTGAGAAAATAGAAACAAAAATTAGGAGAAACAAACTAAATTGAAAATATATATATATATATATATATATATATATATATATATATATATATATATATATATATATAAACTGCTAAGTAAAAACGAAAGAAATAAATAGTTTGTAAAGAATATGGGAGAGATGTGGATGGTCCAGCGATCTCTCAGGTGAATACATTAGTTTATCCTTAAATAAGCTTCCCGTCCATAAAAAAATATACGTTTTTCGTTTTTCTAAAAAATATACGTTTTTTATATATGTTATTTATATTAATATATTTATATTTATATATATATTTGTGTTATTTATATATATATATATATATATATATATATATATATATATATATATATATATATATATATATATATATATATATATATATATATATATATATATATAATATACGTTTTTCGCTCGTATGCGTTACATAAGACCCAAAATTTTGACGAATACTCTACATAAGGCCAAAAATTGTCGTACTAGAAAATGGAAGCGGCTGGCGAAAGTTACGTATTGTCCCGTTTTCTGTTTTGGGTCCTCTGGAAGGTAAGGAGAAACCACTTTATACTGACCGTTTTCTTAACGTTGGTAAACCTTAGGAGGATAGACTGCAGTATGAGTCAAACTAGGCCAGAATTGATTATCCTTAAAACGCCAACTTATGTTATAGATCGATAGAATACGATCTAACAAGAGAATAGAACGGTTTAGCTAAGCTGTTAACTGATGAACAGAGTTTCTATATGAAAAAAAGTTCATGTTTACGTATCTGCCGCTATATTCAGACCATGTAAATTGGTACATAAAAAGAATCTTTTAAACTAAAATGTGAATTAAAATTGTATTTATATCTACTAAAACTTATATACAATTTACTGTTGATTATTATATTGAGGTACAGTAGATAATTGATTCTTAATTTGTTAAGACAGACTTAACTTAAATATAGTAGACTGGAAGACAGTCATTTTATTTTTTCAAGGAAGGTTATCGAAAAAGTTATCTATACTGAAAGAAGGTTATCAAAAAGGTTATCTATACTGAAAGAAGGTTATCAAAAAGGTTATCTATACTGAAAGAAGATTTCCAAAAATGTTATCTATACTGAAAGAAGATTTTCAAAAATGTTATCTATACTGAAAGAAGATTTTCAAAAATGTTATCTATACTGAAAGAAGGTTTTCAAAAAGGTTATCTATACTGAAAGAAGATTCTCAAAGTGGTTATCTATACTGAAAGAAGGTTATCTATACTGATAGAAGGTTTTCAAAAATGTTATCTATACTGAAAGAAGGTTTTCAAAATGGTTATCTATACTGATAGAAGATTTTCAAAATGGTTATCTATACTGATAGAAGATTTTCAAAATGGTTATCTATACTGAAAGAAGGTTATCAAAATGGTTATCTATACTGAAAGAAGATTTTTAAAGTGGTTATCTATACTGAAAGAAGGTTATCAAAAAGGTTATCTATACTGAAAGAAGATTCTCAAAGTGGTTATCTATACTGAAAGAAGGTTATCAAAATGGTTATCTATACTGAAAGAAGGTTATCTATACCGAAATATAAATATATTAAGAGAGAGAAAGAACTAATCTGAACATAACAAATATTATAAATAAATAAAGATTAAATAAAGAGATAACTCACTTTAAACAATAAGAAGGGACAAAGACAATTTGTTGTTGTTTAAGATTCGCTACGTGGAACAAAAAGTTCCAAGCAGCACGGGCTATGGTGATCCCGTAGACTTGTCTGTATGACAAAGGTAAATTATTAAGCCATTAAAAATACGTCAGTATTTTCTTAATTTAATTAGGGGATATTTATATGCAAGTAATTTAGATAGTATGTAAATATATGATATCTTATATCACTATATTTTGTATTTTATATTATATAATTGTTTACCATAGTGTATTTTTTCAGTCTTGAAGCATTGATGAGATGTAGGTATCTGTTTGTATAATTATGTAACCCAAAAAAATGAAAGATACTCAATCCTATTTCTAAATAACAACTTGTACAATCATAATAATGTAAAAAATAATCCATTAATTAGTGAAAAAATAGGTAAAAGAAACTGAAATCTTGTGTTTTTTTTACAAATTATCTACAATCACTCAGGAAATGTTGTTACAATCAGGTAAGAATATTCTGAATGACGACGCGCGAGGTCATTTTAGATTTAGATTTAGATTTAGATTTAGACTCCTCCAGATTTGATAAGTTCAGGACAAAAGGAAATATATTGACCCAGATTCCTGGCCATATTATACCTTGCCTCAGACCTCTGGTACCGTCTCTCTCTCTCTCTCTCTCTCTCTCTCTCTCTCTCTCTCTCTCTCCAACCTCACCTCTCATCTCCTGAAGTTGATCAGCACCCAGGTACTTGTCGTCGTCAATAGTGACTATGGCGTACTCCTGTAGCTGTTGGCCGACCTCTTCCCTCAGAGCCACTACGAAGTCCCACTGCACCTCGAATGACGCCACCAGCACGTAGACTGCTCACGGGAGAGAACAACAGAGACAAGATGTATACTATGGGCTTATCTTGAGGTTATCTTGAGATGATTTCGGGGCTTTAGTGTCCCCGCGGCCCGGTCCTCGACCAGGCCTCCACCCCCAGGAAGCAGCCTGTGACAGCTGACTAACACCCAGGTACCTATTTTACTGCTAGGTAACAGGGGCATTTAGGGTGAAAGAAACTTTGCCCATTTGTTTCTGCCTCGTGCGGGAATCGAACCCGCGCCACAGAATTACGAATCCTGCGTACTATCCACCAGGCTACGAGGCCCCATAGCCAGTGCTCCTTGGAACTTTTTGTTCCAGGTAGCGAGTTTTAAACAATAAAACAATGTATCACAATACAGTATGTAAATACCAGAACAAAATGGAACACTTAAAATAGACCAAAATGCAGGAAAAATGTAAGAATACAGAAAAAATATGTTGAGGAAAATTTTGTAACAAAAAATTTTTCTAATCAAAATACAGGCGAAGCGTAGAATAAAATGCAACAAAAATGTATAACGAAATGTTAGGACAGAATGTTGCAAACATTGCACAGCTGGTCTGTCAGCTCCCAGGAGTGGGCCCAGTGTGTAGGTTCGAATCCTCATCACGGCTCTTACGAATTTTCTCAATAATAATAATAAATAAGAAAACTAAGAAAAATAATAATTTCAAGTCATAACACAAATCTCAATAATTATAATCAAATTAATGATAAAAGTTGATTTTATTTAGATATTACATAGAATTTAATTACAACACTGACATAGCAGTAATTAAAGTTCACGAACAAAGTAATAAAATAAATTTAAATTAATATTCTGACGCTTTTCCCATTTTCTTTTTTTTGCCGCAGGGGGAGACTGTGTTTAAATGACTCTTAGTTGAAGTTTTCCAATATTTCTTATATATTTGGAAAAAAAAGGATTTCTGGCATCCCTTACGGTGAGGGATTAGATCAAAATAATCCCTTACGATAAATCCTCTTCACTGCAGGGGGAGAGGGGGGACTATTTTGTTTCCTCTCAACAATATGGCCATTTGACTTCTCACTGCTCATCTGGGAAAGATACTCCCATGAAAAGATACGATATGAGTAGGATCAATGATCCAACTGTGTGTGTGTGTGTGTGTGTAAATCACGAAAAATAAACACGTGATTAAAAATGTGACAGTGTCAGACCACGGAGGAAAATTGAAACAGGAATTTCCTTAAGTACTTTCGTATATTAATACATCTTCAGAAGGAGTTTTACAGGTCAAGTATTGGACATATATAGGCAGGAGAGAATTATATATAGGGTTACTCGAGCCTGTCTGTCTGACCATATTCTATATAAATATATAAAATTATATATACCGAGAAGTAAAGCCAAAAATATATATAGACCAACACTTCATGTATTTAATCACACTAACAACCCCAACATAATGTAGTTAACGAGGGCTGTTAATTGCTCAAGTTGAATTGCATAAATGTGATTTGACGTCATTTGCGATCATTTGTATTGATTGATTGATGAAGATTAAGCCACCCAAGAGGTGGCACGGGCATGAATAGCCCGTAAGTGATGGCCCTTTTGAGCCATTAACAGTATCAAGTGCTGATACTGGAGATCTGTGGAGGCGCGACTGCACCCTGCGTGACGGGAGATGTCTCCCGGACCAAGTGTGTGTGTTTGTATTCTATTTGCAACATTAACATACTAAATTGGGATTGATTTTCCTCCCGGACTCTGCAATTTTATGCAAGTGTGTAGAGCTAATGGCAGCCTGCAAGACCAAATATTGTCCAATAAAAGTAATTTTATTTTGTTTTATTAATGATCAAAAGAACGGTGAAAATAGTTTTAATATTAACGGTGAAAATAGACAATCATAAAGGTATTTTATGATTGTCTTCTGTGCTTGCGAGTAACTTTGCTCTTGCAGAATAACGAGTATTTTCCTCGTTGTACAAGATTTGTTTGATTAAAATCAATTGTTTATTCCTTGTGTGCAGTGTGTTTTGTACGTATATGATTACAGAATGACTCTCAAGCTAAGTCAAGTTATTGTGCAGGGTGGAAATAGCCACTATTGATCATAAGCTGGATTATGCAGGCGATGAGTCACAATAACGTGGCTGAAAGAGAGAAACTAAGTTTGGTTCCTAGACCAGACCACACTAGAAAGTGAAGGGACGATGACTTTTCGGTCCGTCCTGGACCATTTTCAAGTCGATTGTGATCAATCGACTTGGACAATATTTGGACCATTCTTAAGTCTTATTTGGACCATATTTGGACATGTTTGGACATATTTGGACAATATTTGGACCATTCTTAAGTCTTATTTGGACCATATTTGGACATGTTTGGACATATTTGGACAATATTTGGACCATTCTCAAGTCTTATTTGGACCATATTTGGACATGTTTGGATATATTTGGACAATATTTGGACCATTCTCAAGTCTTGATCCCGGAATCGACTTGAGAATGGTCCA